CCCCCCCCTTGCTTCGATAGTGAAGGACAGGAGGGGATAACAAGACTGTAACTATGGGCCGATAATGACATCAGAGGAGTGAGTGAGTGTGACACGGCGGAACAGATCCCTCCTGATACGCATGCAATGAAATTCAATAAAATCTAACAAGTAATCTACTTCTAAAGAATCGGGCACTTGCAAAGTTAATAAACGGGTTGACGCTCGCCCTTAGAGGGATTTGGCGCGAAATTTTCCTATCTTTATGAGGTAATGTTATTAGCGACTGACGGAAAACCAACTGCATGCACAGTAAACATCGCGATAAGCATACAAAAAAAGTTACCAACGGCATGGAAGTGGGCCCATCTGCGCTGCCCTGCAGTCCGTCGGAGGCCAAAAAGATGTGGATTAATGCCAAAGGGAAACGTCTTAAAGGCTGCCAGGGCGGTCTTGTTGTTGCTGCTGTTGCCACTGTTACCGCTGGCTATTGCCGAATGGAGAGGAGCGCGTACATACTGACTCTGCAAGGAGAGCCAAGTGTCCGCCTTGACTGAGGTTGACAGTAACTGTGATCCAAATGCAGGTGTGCTGAATTTGTACTTCCTGTCTCGAACGGGCAGATCGTCGCCTCGCAAGCCCCGCGCATATGGGTCTGTGTGCAGGAGCATCTCTTGCGACATGGCCACAGACAGTCCCCCCTTCCCACAGATTGCTAAAACCATAATAATAACAACATTAAATACGCGTACTCAAAAACTGATAGTAGATGGTATCTTGTAGGTATAAACGTACCTCGATTAATCCGGCCAGTGGAGTTACTGTTGGCGACTGGATAGCGATTCAACTGGTGCTGAACGCCGGACCAAGGGTATCCATAGAGGGACATCCATTCGGTTCCGAATGCCATTTGTCCCTGACATAATGGATCCAAAATGTTACACAAGACCGCACCACAAATCTGACTCTCCATAGTGTTCTTGCTTTGTATACTCTCTTTGCGACGTTGAATACTCCAGCCTAGAGAAAAAAAACAAAACTAAGCGGGCAGCAAACATAGCATAGAAAAAAAAGCTGTAACAGAAGAAGTCCAAAATTTACAGCGCATGGA